GCAATGTCTCTCATGTCTCTAGATATGTTCCTTTCAGATAATTACCTAATTCAATTAGAATGGAGCAAGAACAGCATCATGTTTAGATGTAACAGATTTCATTCATCTTCTTTAATTACTTTAAGGTACTCTCATTAAAAAAACATTTTGAATTAATGCAGTTACTGATATAACAGAAGTAGTCTGCATTTATTCAATCGAAGTTAACCAAGAAGGCGCAAAACAGGCAACATGAAGACCCACTTCAGACCACAATTATTTTGGAGTTTTTGAAATTAAATTTGTCAGTGTGCTATCGGGGGGGGGGGTAAAAGAGGATATATTTATAAAGCAATTGTTAAATTTGATGAAAATTGGTTGAAAGATCAACAAAAGAAAGAACCAGTAAAATTGCCATTTTTCGCTATTTACACAGGTTTTCACTATATGGGTAGACTCAATTATGAAGTTAAACGACTGTTAAACAATCAACTTATTGTTTTATTAGATTGCTTGAAAATTGAAGGAGTTTTTAGTTTAAAATGTGTGTTGAAATCGATTTTTCACAGTTTTTTGCTAAACGCAGTGGTGTAGAACTAAAAATGAGATATCATTGAGCTCATCATGATGTAAGTAACCTACATACCGAGTTTGAACGAAATCAGAGGAAAAAGGTTGAATTTATCGATATTTGATCGGCTTTATTGATTATTGGCTTTTTTAAAAATTATCGATTTTTAAACTAAGAACCTATCTCTTACATTGTACAATGTATGTGCCAAGTTTGGTCAAAATCGGTTGGATGGATCTCGAGTAAAAACGTATCACACAGATAGACAGGCACATAGACATCCTCTATTTTATACATATAGATAGATACTGATGCTATGAATTTATAGGAATAAAAGATTTTATCAAAAATGTTAAAATTTGTCATAAAACAAGATTGAAAAAAATGAATTTACGTTATTGTTATCTGAATGTTGACATTAACTCATAATTAGAATACTGATTACATTTACATGCAAAAATAATTTAATTTGAGGCTTCGCTTATATTGTCCACGTTTCTAAACATTTCTTTTAAAATTAAACTATTTTATCTGAATTTCTGAGGCTAGGTGGTGTTATAATAAAATTAATTTATTTAAACCTGTTTCACTGTCTTTGTTTATTACAAAATTCTGGACGCTTTACTCTTTGGCTTCCTTCTGATATCTGTTACTTTTGGCTCCCTTCAAAAAATACCAAAAGGAACACTGATTTTCAAAGGTATATTGATAACATTCCTTTATAAAAACTAAACATTCAGTATATTGTTAAAATTTCAGGAGTGGTAACCATGATTTCTTCCTTATTATATCTGGAAGCAAGTGCATATTTTTTATTATGTGAAGTTTGTATGGTCATATAGAGAAAGAAAAAAAGGAAACATCTATGGAACTATTATAAACAGATGACCTTTCATGGAATGTGGTTAGGCCCCAGCCTATGAGCTTTAATTTTTGGTAATGATATAAATGTTTGTGGAATTCGATAGTTTGATTTTAAATGAATATAGCGAGAATTCTTCTTTGGAATTTGGGAAATTTTAGAAGACTATAAATCTTGTTATACTGCTCCAGAGGCAACTGTGTAGGTTGGAATAAATCTAGTTTTGCTAAATCTTAATTAACACTACTTGGTTTATTTCAGGTTCAAATCTTTCTAGAGGCTTGTGCAAACTCATTTTATGGCTTCTAATTATTTTTAATCAGTCCTTTATTTATTCTCCTTGACACTTAATTTGTTTCACAGAGTTGTTTAATCTTAATTATTTCCTGCTTCAGATAGTAATGAGGCATTCTCATGCATTAAAACGTTGAACCGGAGTTACCACCTCATTCTATTCCTTCATACAGAAAATATTGAACCGGAGTTAGCACCCTGTTATATCTTTAAAATCCCAGAGATGCCTGTAAGTGAAAATTCTAGTAGATCAAATTCTGACAGGAGATACAGAAAGGAAACTACAAGAAAGTAGTGAAGGAAAGCGAGAAGAAAGGACTAAATCTCAACTGCAAGAAGACTGAATGCATGGTTGTCAGCAAAAAGAACAGCTCAACATGCAAATTAAAAATTGGAGATACCAAAATCAATAAGTACAACAGTTTAAATATCGGGCAAGTGTTTTAAAAAAGGATGGAAAGTGCGATACTGAAATCTGAAGGCACATTGGGATAACGAAAGATGCCTTTCAAATTTAAGCAATGTATTAAAAAGACAGAAAAATTTAGTGAGAAACAAAGAAAAGAGTACTGAAGTGTTATGCGATATCAGTCCTCCTGTATGGTAGTGAATGCTGGACAATCTCCTCACAGATGAAGAAGAGGCTTGAAGCAGTAAAAATGTGATTCTATAGATGGATGCTGAGAATACTATAAATTGAAAAAAGGAGCAACAACAAACTTTTAGAGAAAATAGAAACAAAAAGGACACCTATATTTAACATCAGAAAGAGACATTTGAAATTTCTGGGAGACATAATGAGGAAGAAGGACTTGGAAAATTTGACACACAGAGCAGAGAGAAGTCAAAAGGGACAGAGGAAAGCAACACATAACCCTGCCTAATGAGTTTGTGTAAATGTTTGGCAGAACAAAAATTAGAATATATAACAAAAAGAGAAAGTTTCCGAAGAGCTACAAAGGACAGGGAATTGTGGAGGGCCATGATCACCAATGCCCTGAAGGGACACGGCATATAGAAGATATTAAATTACTGTCATATTGCATAAAAGAGTATTTGTTCACGTGTACTTAAGCGGCCAGTTCAAGATATTTCCATAAAATCTCTAATTTTTCTTTTATTATTGTAATTTCATGTGAGTTATTTGTTGGTATTTCACCCATTTAAGTTTGTTTAAAAAGATAATAATTACCACTGTAGAAAAAAAGGATAATTCAGTGACGTAACATGGCATGAGAAAAAAGAATGAGATTCAAACCTTTTAGGAGGAAAAGAGAAAGGAAGAAAAGGAGAAAGGAAGGAGATTTACAAAAAATGGTTTTGCAAAAAAATAGTATTTTATGGAGTTATCTTGTCACAGAAAAATAACATCCTGTTAACAGTTCTTTGAGATCTTGCAATTCTTGTCGTTGTATCGGTGGCTAGTGATGTCTTGGCGTTCGGGCTTCCTGAGGATTGAAAAGATATTTCTTCATGTGGAGTAAGTGCTACAATCCTGAGTTCCACAGATTTGTTGGTGAAGTTTTTTTCTGGGAGGCAGTTTTTTTGTGCGTGTTACTCATTGAAAGTCAACGTGAGAAAGAGAAAGAAAGATTCAAACATAGCGCACAGATCAGGATGAAGCAGCTTTAGTAAGGGGCCTTCTGATTGGTTTCTTTTCAGCCAGTCACAGGGATTGTTGTAACAATACCAAATGGCCCATTCAAAGGGGGCTACTCTGAAAGACTTGTAATAATTTCAGTATATTACTGAATTGAATTCTCTACATAACAATGACTATATGAAAAGAATTGTATTAATTAATAATAAGGATGTAAATGAACAATTAACATTACATAAATGTGGTTTTAGAACATTTCCATCATAAATCAATTAGGAAGATATGTAAAATGTAGTCTCAAACTACTGATAAAATATTTTTGCAATCAGTGCTGAATCCATATGCTTATATATGTACGTGGACATTTAGGTTACAAATTTAGGGAACAGAATAAAATACAAGGAATGATCGAGAAAAAAAGAAAAATAGATGAGAAATGCCATCTGTTGTCTCTCCAAGAATAAATAGGTTCAATCAAAATCAGGCCCATGACGCCAACTGACTCATATTGAAGCCACACTTTTCTGACATGGTCATAATATACATAGTATGTATATCACTTTTATGAATGATAATATTGTTGGGTAAACTTTAGCTTTGGTTATCTAGCATGAGTATTATATTAAAATTTAATAGAATGCAAGAAGAAAATCATTTTTCGTCCCTTAATCGAGACGCAATCGCACCAATCCTCCGAAGGAACGCCTTCGAACGAGGGCCAATAACCCCAGAAGTCTCCACTGCCACAGGAATAAAAATAAATCTATCAGCAAGAGAAGAATATTTAACTATTTTTTTATCTCTGCGTCCCGGGCGACGGACCCCGGCTCAACCGCGGACCTGATCAAATTACCGGTCGAAAATGTATCCGCACAGGTCGCATCCCAAATCAACGACTTCCCCATTTTAAAAGGGAAAATGGTAATGCCATCCGGCCGCTTTCCATCACCACGGTCGAGGCCTACGGGTTCGATTTGGGAAGGGAACCCAGCTGCATCCAAACCTCTTTGATGATGTCGTTTATTGCTGCATGCCGTGGAAAGCGGCCGGCACTACGACGACAGGAGAGAGGATGCAAACCAAACTCATCGATGGAAGCTCCACATCTGCATCTGTGACGCTCACATAATTTGAGTCCAAGACGGATCGCGACTCCGACCCGAGTGCACTCATCATCTAGAAGGGTACCGGTAGATGAAGAGGGCACTGCGTTGAGCCAGGCGCCACTACTCGGTTGTGAAGCAGATAGTAGACAGGCGAGGCGATGCTGATCCAGAGAGAGCCTCAAATTAGTAAAATTGGCCTCGCATTTTATTTTATCCCAGCTTTTTTGTTTTGATGTGTCTAGTGGGATAGAAAGTAATTCTTGGGCCCAGACGCTGCAAGCTTGTTCGAAAGAACTACCTGAGAAACACTGAGACGATCCACCGAGTATCTCATCAATTAATTCATGACTGGACGAAAGTGAAGAAAGATATGCTGGAAGGGCCAAATCTACCGCTGATCGAAGGCCCAGGCCTCCGAAACTCAAAGGGAGCTTTGCCTGCCTCCAGCCTGTGTCGTCGAAATTAACGTTGCAAATTAACTCCGCGCATCTCTTAATTGTGATATCTATCTCATTTAAGAAATCCTGTTCGAGGTAGCAAGGGCACTTCGGAGAGTGTAGAGGAAACTCGGTAGCGAAAAACTGTTCTTCAAGAGGAAGAGGGCTGGTGTGCATCAATTAATTGCAATTTCTCAGTCATTCTTGTTAGAATGACATGCTTAGTATCCAAACACTCTCGAATGGCCATTGGAAAGACTGGAGAACCAAGAATATGTAATTCCTCCTTAGGTGTTATTTTTATATCCTCAAGGATGAGTCTGATATCCCGGATAGCACTCTCGAAATCATCTGCACTATAATTCAAGTTTATTATCTCTGACTTGGACGAGTTAATCTCAAGTCCAAGCAGAGATAAAGCAGGAATAACTCGTCGGAGGTCAGCAGCTACGGCCTCGATGGATCCTCCCAACGTTGCATCGTCAAGATACCATATATTGAAAGGAGAGGCGATGGAACGAGCTACCCCGTCAACAGCCATCGCAAATAGTAGCGGACCAAGTGGATCACCTTGCTGGATTCCAGTAGCAGAAGAGATAATATTATCGGAGGCGATCAACATACTTGGATGACTATACGAAAGATGAGCCAGTTTAAATATGGAAGGAGTCCGTTGATGGCAAACTTCCAGGGTATGATCCCTTCTGATGCTATTGAAAGCGTTTTTCATATCCAATTTTAATAAGATACGGGGGGAAACAGGTGATGTATTCTCGAAAAATGATCTTGTGGCATGAACCGCGGCTTCACATCCGCCCTGTATGCCTACCCCGAGCTGGACAGGTCGCAATTCATGCCCTATCTCCTTCACAACAACTCTACAAGCAATTTTTGCCGCGAGACGACGAAAAATGTTACCAACAGCGATAGGGCGGATACCTCCGTCTTTTTTTTTAAAGCCGTTAAGTTGGCTGAAAATATTAAGTCGCGAGCATGTTGGGGTATCTCAGCTCGGAGAAGGGTATTAATAAGAGCTGTTATGGATGTTTTCAAATGTTCACCAGCTTCGGCAGTGTGGGCAGAAATTAAGTCCTTGATGTGACCAGGTCGAAGGCCGTCCACACCTCCACTGCTGCTTCCCGAGAAAGACTTCAGAGCGGCAACCATTGCTTCCTTTGAGATTTCAATATTTGAATCATTGTTTTCCATCTGAACAAATCTGACATCTGATGGTGGCGCAGGATGTTTCCGACGGAGAGCTGTGAGAACTTCTGGTGTAGTAGCTAGTATAGTATCGGATGAGGCCAATACTCTAACTGCAGCTGAGACATCACCCTCGATCAACTTAGCATTGACGAGGGCACGGAGTCTCTTAGAATCGTCGACTGTAGATGAAGGATGAAATCTATTAGGATTAGAAAGATTAGAAAATTCGGTGGCATTTATTTTAGACGAATTGAATAAAGAAATGTTATTTTTCATAATAGATGAGACAGATGATGTAGGGTCCTTATTGTAAGGAATGCCGAGCACAAGTGTTGCGAAAGAGAAAAGGTGATCCCAGTCAAGCGAGCTGTTCAAGTTAAGTGCCTGGTCTATGGCAGTAGCCAAGGCATCGGCTGCCGGGATTCTGACAGATTTAGGGATTTTTAAAGGCACCTTCCGGAATTGCCTAAGGAGTGAGGTTGCTCTCAAAAACTTCACTGGCATCTATTTGGGTCAGTTCATTATGTTGATCTTTTTTCACACTATCTTGTAGAGCCGAGAGAGACAGACAATGTGAACAACTCCAAACAACAAGAGACGCTGAAGCACATTTCTAGTCAATCCCACGCAAGATAAATGAAAAGACCGTTGACAATTTGAAAATCTTTTGATTCTTTTTTACGCTTATTAATGCTGCCACAAGAAAAGCAACGATCAGATTCCAGCAAAGAAAAAAGAAGAAGAGACATTTTTCTTCCTCCTTTTTTTTCTAAAATTAATGTAAAATTTTTCTGTTAATTTTTGTAATCCCTGCTTGACATTAATTTCAATTTTTTTCCCTTGAAATCAAATCTTCAAAAAAATACTGTCATGAATTGCAACTCCTTTACAATAATGTTTCCAGTTTCCAGCTATTAATTCAATAAAGATTATTTAATTCCTATTCAAATTCGTATTTACCTTACTTAATATTTGTTTACCTAAATGCACAGAATGGTACAGGGACTCAAAAGACCCAGTATTGTCAAGAACCTTTTTGTGTTATGCTCATTTTGCCAAAATTCAGTAGTTCCCAGTTAGCGATTTGCAAAAAACAAACATAGTTTATAAATTCAAGTGCCCTTTGGGAGATTGTATCTCCAACGAATTAAATAATATTTATGTTGGTCACACCACAAACTCGCTTTCATGATGCTTGACACTACATTTGAATGAAAACACTAACATTTAATTTGTTTAATGATAATGTTATTAAGCTTACCAGACGTTATGAAAAGAATTTACATAAAATAGACAACACTTGTCTATATTATTTAATGAAACATGCATGAATATATATATATATATATATATATATATATATATATATATATATATATATATGCATTTGTGTATGCCTGTGAGTATATCATGTTATAACTTGAATGATTTAAACTAAATTTTCCTACTCAAATTTATTAAATTGCATTTTTTTTTAAATACAAATATTGAGTTACTTTTAGATGAAATGTTACAAAAAATTAAACTTTAGAAAATAGTCAGCTGTTATATTTGAGCTATACATTTTACAAGTGACCACACATGTGTCCACATTGCTTTATCAGCACATGAATTTATGTGCGGGAATGTCGATATTTTGCACACAGACATTTGTGTGAATATGCAGAGATTCAAATAGCCATTGCTCACCAAAATCTTAACCATATATCCCACTGTAACCACCAGATGATCACATACTTGGGATGTCTATTGATTTTGGTCAGTATATTAATTTTGAACGCACACATTATTTCATTAACTTTTTATTATTTTGACCCATTTATTTTAGGATATGGTTACTTAGTTATTGATCCAATGTATACAATTGAGTGTTGTGGCCATATCTCAAAGTGGGAGCTCTATGTGAAGAATGCTGGCACTGTGAAAATGCAGGTCTGGCGCCCATTCAGTAATAACAGTTTTACATACGAGCTCAGAGGACAGACCAGCATTACAGTTTCCAAAGGCAAGTGCATATTTCTTTACTTTCTGAACATAAGAAATATTTAAAACGTTAGATAGTGTTGTGTTTATGGGTAATAATCACATTCATAAACTACTTGTGATATATATAAGTTTGAATTAATTGCTCTCAGTCTATTAAAGATCTTAGAAATCCATTTTGCTCGTGTAAATTTTTGAAAATATTTCTTGAGTATTAAAGTTGATATTAAAATTAATTGGATAAAATGATATGTTATTTATTAAAGGAATTTTTTTGAAAATGATATGAAAATTTAAAGGCATTATAAACATTTTTAATTAAACTGCCAAATACATTTTGAATTCTCATGAAGAAAAGAAAATTCTTTGTATATCTAACCAATCAACATTCCTCCATAGAAGCGATTCACAAAGCACTGAAATCACGTTTGATGCTGTTCACCTTCTAAGGTGCTTTTGTCAAATTTTCCAGAAATAATATGTTTCTCTGTATGTTTCTGATATGGATTTTCTAATGACTTTGATGCTTTTAACATATGTTAAATTGAAAAGTAAGTAAATGTTTATACTTTCCCATTCTTGGAATTGTAAATACCAAGAAAATGAACATAAATATGAATAAAATTTTCTATATGAATGATAAATGTAATTGCAATTTTGCTGAATACTGTGAAATATTCTTCTTCTCAGCCAATACTACACATTCAACAAAATGCTATTTTTAAGATCAAAATGCTCTCAGAGGGAGAAATGTAAACATGAAAAGACCTATACTTATGTTTCATTGATTGCACAAATAACATTTGATAGGAAGAGCAACTTGAAATATTACAATAGATTCATTTACAAGGAAAAGGTAGTCTGGAACCTCTTCTGGGAATAAACAACTTGCAAGTGGATAGAAAAAGAATTAAACAAATATGCAAAAATAGAAAGAGGATTAAGACAAAATTGTATTTTTTCATCAGATTTATTTAACCTCTACAGTAAGACGAAACTAAGACAACTAGAAGAACTACCAAGATTTATTACTGGTGGGCATTATCTTAACATAGAAAGAAAAAGTATTGTGTTGATAGCAGACTCAGAAAAAAACTTGACAGGACTCGTACACAAGTTAGTAAAAAAAAAGAAGAACTAGCTATTAACTATAAGACAGAATGTATGATTTGTCAGTAAAAGAAACAGTACAAAGTGTGAGCTACATATTGGTAATACTTAAAATCATACCAGTATAAACATTTAACTATCTAGGAAATATAATACAAATCACAGAATGTGTAACACGAATCCAAAAGCATATGGGAATGATGAAATATGCCTTTGTTAAGAATTTTAAGAGATAGGAAAGAAAGGAAGAAAAATAAAGAAGAAAAAGTGTGCTGAACTGCTATGTAATATCAAATATCTTATATGGCAGTGAATACTGAACAATTTCCTCACAGAAGAGACTTAATAGAAACTACAAGGAAACTAATATTTACAATTTAATTAATCTGCTTAATGATATTGAGTAAATGAATGACAGAACAAGAACAAAGAGGGATAGTAAGTGGAGCAAAATTTACTTAGAGCAACAAAAGACAGGTAGATGTGGAGAGCCATGATTGCCCACAACTTTTTTTCATTTGAGTTTCTATGGGTTCCAGAATTATGCTTTCTCAACCTCCAAACATTTTCCATGATAGTCTTATTCAATGACCTTCATAAATTATAATTAACTCAAATTCATGTGGCTCGTTTTTGATAAAGTGTGTGGTTAGGACAACTATGCTATTAATGTAAGTGACTTATATATATCAATGATAAAATTAACAATAGGGATACATTATCAGGAAAAAGGTTTAACCAATGATTATTTTAAGTTTTAACTTACATGATACCGATTTCAGGAGGCTGCTTAGTACTTGTTAGTTTCAGAGAATTGAGCGGCATTCTGATCTGTACTTTAAAATGAATTGCAATGACAAAGTATATTTTTACCATTTATTATCCTCAGTATTAAAATAAAAGTATTTATTTTATGTGCACTGTGTTTTGTTTTTTTTTCTATTTTTGATAGAAAACATGGACAAATTAATTGCAGTTTCTCTGCCTCCTTCCAAATATATTGCAGTAAATACTGGTGATGTTATTGGATGGTAAGAAAGCATTCTTTGATTTAAAAATGAACTAACTTTTTAATCTAATGATTAATTGCTTACATCTTTGTCATAGTTTACAATTTCAACTACTGAACATCATTTACTCAAATTTATCATAGTAAAAATGACTTTTCTGTCAATTTCCAGCCATACTGATTTCGAACAAAGATAAAACATATTTTGTCGAGAAATCATCAATCTACAAGTGTGGATCTAAGAACAGAAAAAATGTTTCATGCTGTATTAAAAAATAATGTGTTCACAGTAAAAAATAAAGAGGAGAGATTTCACAATATTTTATAAAAACAATTGTATAAATGTGTTTACAACTGGAAGAATAATGCTTGTTTTTTCCTTTTATCAAAAGTCAATTTATGTAATGCTGTAATTGACAACATTTTTATTTATTTCTAATCTCATAGATCCTACCTAACTACAAGCATGTTAGTGAATCTCTGTTAACAATTAACAGAGATTCACTAACATGGATCTTAATGGAGATTTTGAAAATTTATCCTGAATCATAAAAATTAAGTAAGAAATTAATTATGGTACAAATTCATGATAGTTTAAAAATTGTAATATAAATTGATTAATTTTATCATTTTGTTGAAAAAAAAAGAAAGCTTCTAAGAATTGAAAGTATATTTTGCCTTTTATGTGATAAGCTAGGGTCAGAAAAGTAGGAAGTCATGTGTCGTCATTGATAAAAAAATTGTGATTATGTCACGCAATTTGCTCACATGCTTCTTGAGGTAATTTAGTGTGGATTAGGGGAGGCATCAAAAAGTTCAAAAGATAGAGGCTGGATTTAAATTTGTTGTAAGTGTGACTGGATGACCAAGATATAATTAGCTCTATTTATAGAATTGAAGAAATTGGAGGTATGACACTAGTATTTGTTTCATCTCACTTCTATAACCTCACAACTCTTAGGTCGTTGTTCTACAATTGTTAAATAGGCAACATATTAATGTAGTTCTATTGTGCTTCGTGCAGGAAATTCAAAAACTATTACATCTAATACTGCCAGTGTTTTCATTTATTTGAACATAACCAAATCTGGATAGAGTGCTACCTTTATGGAACACCTAATTAAAACCTAAGATGTGCTGGTTATATAACAACTATCAGTATAGAAAATAGAATTAGCAATCAGAGTTCAAATTCCAGCCTTGGGGAAAAATATGAACCTTTCTCTTCCCCACTCCCAGCTATGAGTTAAATAGCAGAGTAGACTGGGCTATCTAACCTAATACTATCTTTTCCAAGAAGGCATGATGATTCACAAATAATAAAGAAAAGAATATATAGAGAGCCATGATTACATATGTTCTGAAAGGACATTCAGAGAAGTTAAAACCTATAGCTTGTAATGCCAAAATGAAGTTATATTTATTAATCTTTTCTATTGCAATATCATTTTCTCTTTGGTTATTTACAACATTTACTCATTAATTTATCAATATACAGTTGCTATTTCATTGTTATATTCAATTATAATATGAAGTTTAATGAGTTTCTTGGCTAGTATCATGTTTGCCAAAATGCATACAAATTCATGTAATACTTTATGTCATAAATTTCAATTAGAATCTTTGATACTCACATCTCTCTAAGGA